CGCAATTTTTTTATTTCATCAAAAACACGACATGTGGAAAAAATGCACATTACTTGTTAGTAAGGGGGAAACCGAACGGCTCTCAACACAAAACAAATGCTGCTCCCTACGGGGGCAAACATGAAAATGTACTGGGCACAACTTCTCAAGCATTTTTTGAGATATAAAAAATAAAGTGCATATCACAGGAGTCGACCCAAATCTAATCAAACACATTTTATGCCATAGAAAAAATGAGCCCTCCCACTGCGACACATTAGTAGTCAACTATGCTTGCTGGTAACTTAGGCGACCAGGACAGAGCAACTGCAACACTTTGCAGGCACGGGGGTGTTGGCGTGGTGCAAAATCTCTGTTCCATGTACCAGAACCGTGTGCCTGTCCTTCGGTAAGCATTTTTCACACCACATAGCTGAATCTTCCGACAGGCCGGACAACACTGGAAATGGCAAAGCTTGCTCGCGAGTTCCATGTACCAGACGGCTGTAGGTCCCATATCCGAAGGAGAGCACCCTGAACCATCATTCATGTGACTATATGCATTACCACCACCCCCCTAGTCCCCGCCATCTCGAGAGCGAGAACCGTCCTTCTTTATCATCGGGACCCCACCCAATCCGATGGGAGGAACCCTCTGTTGCGCACAAGGAACCGTCCTAGCTGAATCTCCCAACAGGCCGAACAACACTGAAAATGGCAAAGCTTTCTCGCGAGTTCCATGTACTAGACGGTTGTAGGTCCCATATCCGAAGGAGAGCGCCCTGAACCAGCACCCATGTGCGTATATGCATTACCACACCCCCCAAGCCCCCGCCATCTCGAGTGCGATAACCGTCCTTCTTTATTGTTGGAACCCCACCCTATCCGATGGGGGGAACCCTCTGTTGCGCACAAGGAACCTTGCACGACCGTATGTATATGGCGGCGGAACAATCGGCCCCACATGTGGTGCCACGACAGGGGCACACCGATTTTTGAGGTGATTTCTCTTCTTCGCACACTCAAACCTATGTCTATATAACGTCGGACCTCTCTATATATATCCGATGTGGTCCCGCCATCTTGATGATTGATAATGCTCCTTGTATATAGTTGGTACCTCTCCGCCATCTTGAGAGCGAGAACCCTCCTCTTTTAATGTCGGAACCCCACCCAAACAGATGGGGGGAACCCTCTGTTGCACACAAGGAACCTTGCAAGGCCATTTCAACTTTTTCACATCAAAATGAATCCTTTGAAATATTTCAAAAAAATCTTTGGAGCCTTCTTTATATTTTATGCAAATGCTTTCCAAAATCCTTGTCAACCTCCTTGAAAACCCTGTTCATTTTTCTGGCCCGAGCTTGAGCTTTGAAACTTTACCCATAATTTTCTTCTCACTTTTTCAGCTCCGTTGACAGTTTAATGATTTTTGTACGCCCCCTAACTCATACCCCCTAGTTCAAAACTATTGGAAAATAAAAATCATCGACTTCTGAATTTAATTCTTCCAACTCGTGTAAGTTTTGTTATGTGTGCCTAATTATACATCATTGTTGTACCAAATTTGTATATAACGATTAAGTGGGGGGACAAAACACTAGGGCGCAAGTACCATTGTGCATGCCGTTTTAGAGTCTTAAACCCACTATACCCCCCCTGAGGCACGGCGAACATTTGCGGGCTCACAATTTTTTTCTTTCATCAACAGCATGACATGTGGAAAAAATGCATATTACTTGTTAGATAGGGAAAAACTGAACGGCTCTCAACACAAAACAAATGATGGTCCATACGGGGGACAAGCGAGAAAATGTACTGGGAACAACTTCTCAAGCATTTTTCGAGATATAAAAAATAAAGTGCATATCACAGGAGTCGGTGCATATTCTTGAGAAAGGTAAACAATATGAAGAAGCAAGCCCAAATCTTGAGAAATGTACTACATCGCGGGGCTGCGGGCGACAGCAAAGAAACGAGTAGATCGGGCCAAAGGGAGGCGGCGTGATGTATTCGCTGGTACAGGGAGGCCCGTATGAGCAGCTGCCCGGGAAGGGCCCACTCAAAAGAAAACAGGAGTAGGAAGTAGGGGCGGCAGAAAGAAACAAAGATTCTACTGGGCAAAGTCAAACAAAAAAATACCTACACCGCCCAACCAACGTATCTCGTGAGTCCTCGAATCCCGGGTTCAGATGTTTCCTGGGATTTCTTGTCGGGATCCCCTTGTAGGTAGTCAGGCTGACCGGGGAGGCCGGCCCGTGCTCGGATTCACGAGGAGGCTTGAAAAAGATATGCGCGACCTCTACCTTGTACACGAGGTTGGGCATTTGCTCTGGTGCTAGAAGCCCAGATAGCAGCTGGAGATCGATGGACTCTGATCCCTCCCAGTGCGGCGGTACAAAGCAGATCTAAGGTATGAATTTCTCCCCGGAGTGTTTTACATCGAACTAGTTGAGGATTCCAGTCCGAGCCACAGGAGCTATCCTGCAGTGACTGTCATCGCCGTTTTTCTCGCCTGGGGTCATGCTCCCATTCACTTTCTTAATCTGAGCAATGACCTAGCAGTTTCGTTGTGGATCAATCGATAATATCTAAGCATGCACACTAGCTCTTGCGACATAGATAAAAAAACTTGATTTTCCTAGATTATCATTTGCCCATTGCAGCGCGCAAGGAGCTGTCAAAATAAGACGGCAGGGGATCTGTGCTGGCGAGTGTTTTGTCTACTGATTACATGAATCTTTTCTTTACGCTGGCATTATTTTGGCCGTAGGATGGATGGCTATGGGATTCCCGCTTTTGGCCCGAGACCACCCCGACGTTTCGACGATGCATCCTCTGAATCGAAAGAAGAGGAGGGGATCTGTTTCCCTGCTGAAGAAGAGTCAGAATCAGACGAAGAAGATCAGAACCAGCGCATTCAACAAAAAACAGCAAAGTTCAGCTACGCAAAAGCGCAAACGGAATTACCTAACCGAATGCAAGTCCAGCATGTACTCCGAGTGGATCGTCCTGAAAAATGGTCAGGTCAAACGCTTAGTCGTTTTTCGACGGTCGCTCCTAACTTTTTTTCAGTGATTTTTAGGGGCCTGAATAAGTACCATATCATGGCCTAAATGGCTCCAGTGCCGTCGGCGAGGATGAAGTCTATCTCCTCGGACATATCCCTATGGTTCAACATCCTCCCAAGAAGCCAGGCCTAGAACCACACCGTGTGAAGGACTTCCGATGAAAAACAAAGAAGCCGAACAAGACCGCATACGTGTTCATGCATACGAAGATCTAGTACTTAGCAAAACAGTCTTCGCCTCCGAAAACTAGAGAAGACCGACAGATGCAAGGTAATTACCTGCTGCCCATTGCTCTGAATGGTTGGAACACTAGCGACGTCGACAGAAGCAGGGATGATGGCTCCTGCAAACACGCTTTCAACCGGAACATCACTAACGTGGGGTTCAGAGGGAGGCGCAGTTGGACGGGGCCGTGCATCATAGGCAATTACTAACGTACATTTGGGGGGGGGGGGTGGATTCAACGGGACTTTCCCCACTGCAACATAAAAGAGCCGTCCAAAAGCATCTAGTCATCGTGTCAAACGGTGCCGAACCTTGCATACTGAGTTGACCAATACCCAAAATGGCAGGTTTCAACATCGGCACGAGGGCAACGCAGCAGGGAACTTTTGCTAAAAATGACTCAAAGTAGCCCCTGTAGCTGATTACCGAAAATGGTTCCTGTCACCCTCTGCCGTAGAAGAAAGGGGTCGCTACTATCGCCCTCAAATGCACTGACATGTCAGCTGCTAGGCTTCCATACAGGGTCTACACTAGCATAAAGTACCTTTCAGAACTTCCCTCTTCGGTCATGGCGAAAATCAACAAATCAAAAATTTGAAACCTTATCCACAAAAAGTGCGGATCTCAAAGAACATCAACGGTTCTGATAGCACACACTCTAGTTGC